GAAGCGTTGCTGGCTTAATTGTGCGAGTGCAAAACACGCCGGCGCTGACGCTAAGCTCTTCATGCAAATACTTAAGCTGTTAATGAATAACACTTACGAAGCACTAAGAGCTAGTACTTGCAACCTTTTAAACAAAGCTTAATTGTTACAAATCTTTGTTTGCTTGTTTGTTTGTTTGTTTTTTTGCAGACTTTGCAGCTTCATTAAACATGAAGCCTTTGTGGGTTGTTATACGTATTGCATTGAGAGTATACTTAGCATTTCTGAAATTAGAAAATGACGGACGCCAACAAAACATGGATGGTCCGATAAACCAAACAGGCACTCCAACTAGCTTACGCAAATCGTATAATTTATTCCAGTATATTATTATTCGATCTAGAGAAAAGAAATTAAATACATTTGAGAAACTGAACAGGATCTATCGATACATTAACACACAAGTTAAACTATTAGCTAGAATTGCAGCACTGATCACTTACTTCTGTGGCGATGTCTAGTAGGATTGTTTCACGGTATACAGGTCAGCAACAGATATAACAGATCAGGGTATAACAGAATACGGGTCAGGGCGTCAGGTCAGCAAAACATGAAGTTCACTTCGAATCTAAACATCTGAACTGAAAGCAGACTTATTCACGTGGCTTAATTGCGAAACTTAGTGTCAATCAGTGTCAATCAAAGTCAATCAGGAAATCAAGTTAATAATTCATTGTGTTAACGAAACAATGGATATAGCGATTTTCGGTGATACACCAAAGAGTATGAGTAAGCAACAACGCAGAGTTACTTGAAGCAAAACAGGTTTCCGCTGATGGAAATCATGTTGCTCAAAGCACATTTTCATCTACTGCTGATATCCATAACAAGCTAGCCTGCAGGGCAGGCGTAACCTGGGCAAGCGAGTGCACAGTATTTTTTTAGCGAAAAATGGCCACAATCTTTGATTGATGGCGGCGGATGGCTGAGGAGAGTAAGAAATGTGTACCAAGGGGGTGTGTGACGATCAAAGATACGAAGAGGCTTCAACTCCAAATTAAACTTGGCCGGTAATATAAACGATCGCACGCTTCTTAACGTTAACTTGCCTAATAAGACGCCTGCTCTTCAGGCTACAACAGGCCTGATGATAAAGATTCTTCGATGAAAGCTGTTATGACAACAAATGTAAAGCGATCCGTTGAATGGCTGTCACGCAAGAGGTCATGTCCGTGGTACATTCCTGGTCATGACCTCTTGCGTGACAGCCCTTCACCCGGACGCTCAGCTTATGGTAGGCCAGGAAAGAAACTTTTAAGAATTAAACAACGGGGGGAAAACGGGGTGGAAAACATGCACAACTGTCCTGGTGTATTTTGAA